AGGCAGCCTTGCTTTTAGAGCTGTCCGTGCTGCCGGGCTCCTGTACAACGGGTCCCGGTACAGCGAGAGCGTCCCGGGAGAGGCGGAGCGATGTTTCCCTTCAGGGGTGCCCTGTGCGGGTCACGGCTCTGCCCCTGAGCCAAGCGGTTCCCTCGATGTTTCAGGACTTTCTTATAAGCTATCATTCTATATTTTGGATGGGGTTTGAGGTGTTAATTGAAGCCAGAATCCTTTTTGGAAACCCTCACTGTTCAGCACTTCTGCAGACATACTGGAAGGGTTCTGAAGGCTTCCAGTGGAAGGGTTGTCAGGCGTTGGAACAGGCTGCGCGGGGAGGTGGTTGAGTCCCCGTCCCTGGATGTGTTTAAAAGCCGTGTAGATGTGGTGCTTGGCGATATGGCTTAGAGGAGGATTGGACAGAGTTATTTTATTACCTATTAATGGTGAGACTGGATGATTTTAGAGGTCTTTTCAACGAAAGCGATTCTCTAATTCTCTAGAGGAGGGGTTGTAAAATGTAGGAACATGTGGATTGGGGCCAGGATGCAAGGAGCTGGGTTGCCTTGGAAGCCTGAGTCCGTTCAAACAAAATGTGTTTTGACAGCGTTGACAGCGTGGGGTTTGTTATGGAGAGGGAGGGCTGCTCCCGTAGGGCAAGCCTTGATGAGGTGTAAGGAGTGGCTATTACCTTTGTTTGTACACAGATAAAAGAAATTGCCGAGATAATACCTCTGGGAAGAGATAGTGCCTGTTACTCAAGGGTCCTTGCAGTGTAGTAAAGAAGCAGCAGCTGTTGAAGCCAGACAAGGCAAAGCTGGGAGTACTTTGGATCTCTAAGGCTTGGGTTCTTCCACAGTGAGCTGATCTCAACCTTTCTGTGTGCTTTTCTTCTAGGGAGCTGTTTTCACCATCTCAGAAATACCAGCTCCTTGTGTATCATGCAGACTCTCTCTTCCATGACAAAGAGTATAGAAATGCTGTAAGTAAGTATACAATGGCCTTGCAGCAGAAAAAAGCATTAAGTAAAACTTCAAAAGTAAGACCTTCTACTGGGAATGCTGCATCAACACCCCAAAGCCAGGTATTTAAAAACTGACTACTGTGCTGCATGTAGTAATTTCTTCTCTTTACAATTAATGTTGCTGACTTGGTACTGTAGCATCAGGTTGCAGATTTATCATGTCAAATAAACATGACCTTAAAGGCTTTTTTGTTTTGAAAGTACCAGTGTGGTGTTTTCTAATGCCAAGATTATGGTCTCAAAGATCAGGTTTTTTTTTTTTTGTGTGCCTAGTTAATCCTTTTTGTTTGAAGTCAGGAGCAACATGAGCTGGCAGTAGGTTGCACTGTGAAGTCTCTGCAGTGGATTTTTTAAACACAATGTAAGCATTTAAGGAGAAAACCTCATTTGCAGTTTCTGCTTGCCTAAAACAGCATTGTGCTTGAAAGTTTGTTTTCTATTTCAGAGCCTGCCATCTGAAATTGAAGTGAAATATAAAATGGCTGAATGTTACACGATGCTGAAGCAGGATAAAGATGCCATTGCTATTCTTGATGGGATTCCTTCCAGGCAGAGGACCCCAAAGGTTAGTTCTGGCAGACCTCTGTCACAAATCTTTGGTCAGCATGTCTTGAATCTGTAGCCCAGCATCTGGTCAAAAAGAACATAGCCTGTAGTTATAATAACATTGTGTCTTGGTATTTGCTTTTGTATTAATTAAATTTGGAATGGGCTTGTTTTATTTGGCCTTTTTTCTTCAAAATCAGACAAATTTTGTATTCCCTCTGTTAGAGAGAATTCAAAAAAGTAAAAAGAGTTAAATGTTTGTGTGTGTCTTTGTGTGATTTATCTGGTTAACTCCTTGGTACTGTGCATGACAAGTGGGAAATTTTGCTTGTGCAGGAGGATGTAGAAATGCTTTATTTATTTTCCAATAAAAAATAAAGTATTTGTGTGTCCATACATGAGGCTTGAAATCTGTATTGGCCATTCAGTAGTTCTTTGCATGTTATCATGATAGTTTCCTAAAGCAAATAATAATGGCTGGTCTCAACAGAGGCACCTGCCAGGAGAAGAATGTCTGTTAGCAGACAGCTGAGTTACTGCAGGTTAGTAGGTGATTGCCAGGTGCCTGACTGGATCATTTTCTGCAGTTTGGAGTCAGTACATGTTGAATGTGAGAGCCAAAGCACTTCCTTAGGTTAGTGTCCTCTGCCTGGCTGTAACCACAGGGTGGAGACAGGAGAGGCACACTGCTGCTGCAGGAGCTGGAGACTTGCAGCCTGAGGTGGACTTTTCTGGGGTGTTTTCACTCCTATCTGGCCAACTAACTTGGTAGATTGAGATTGCTCAAACTGAGCAAGTGTTTCAGCAGGTTCTTGAGCCTGGAATGTGTGTGGAGTGGCACTTGGTGTGTGTTGTGTAGTTTGAGCAATTTGGATCCTTGGAAGGCTGGAGGCTTTGGTGAGCAGGAGGAGTGCCAGTGCTCCACCTTTGAAAATCTTTTCCTCCTTTTTAATAACTGTTTAGATAATGTTAAATATTTAGATCTCATTGTGGTCTGCAGTGCCAAATGTTGAGTCTTTGCTTGCTGGCTCTGTTAAGTCAGAAGCGCTTAGAAGATTAACACATCAGGCCAATCAGCTATGCTTCATGTTAACAGTGTTCCTGTGTTGTGCTAACACTGTTCATGGCTTAGACTCCAGGAACACCAAAGTGTTCTGCTTAAAGACCAGTTCTGTTATCAATCATGGCTTCATTCAGAAGGTAAATGGAAACTTCCTCTGCCTTCCTAAGCTAATCCTCTCAAACACTTCTGTTGACACACAGAGATCAGCTGGGAGAAGCCCAATGTTGTGGATATACAGGTCCTTCTTGGCATCATATATAAACCCTTGCCCATCTTTGGGCTTCTTATACACAAAACACTGAGATTTCAAGACACACTGTGCAAATACAAAAGAACTTGAGACACAGAAAGAGGCAACAGTTTAATTATATCCTATGTGGTAGATGATAGCAGTCTCAGAAGAAGAGCAGGTAATTTTGTCTTCTGACCAGAACAGGAGGGAGTAAGGCAGGCAGGCATTCTTGAAGATGAATTTATGACCTTTTCTTAGTGAAGATTCCTCCTTTCTCATGCTTGGCTACCAACATTTCTGTTACCTCTAGATCAATATGATGCTGGCAAATCTGTACAAGAAAGCGGGTCAAGAACGCTCGTCTGTTACAAGCTACAAGGAAGTCCTGAGGCAGTGCCCTTTAGCCCTTGATGCCATACTGGGTAGGTGTCTGCACACTGGTACTGTTTTAGTATTAAACTCTATCAGAATTTGAATTGTGCTTGGGACAAGGTAAATGTCTTGCATTTGCACGTGATATGTAATGCCTACATTATGCAAATTTTAAAAAGGTTTATAACGAGCCGCTTGCTTCTGCTTGTCAAGGGGCAGAGTTTGTGGTCTCCAGACAGTTAATCTGTATGGAAAGCAGTTTGTGGTGGCTGAAGTTGCTGTGTGTGCCTTTGCACAGGCCTGCTCTCGCTGTCGGTGAAAGGAGCAGAGGTGGCCTCCATGACCATCAACGTCATTCAGAGCATCCCCAACCTGGACTGGCTCTCTGTGTGGATCAAGGCCTATGCATTTGTGCATACTGGAGACAACACGAGGGCAATAAATACCATTTGGTAAGAGCTCAAAGCTGGAATCAAAGAATATAGTCATATTTGTACATAATTGTATTTAAAATGGCATATAAATAGCAGGTTTGTTTGGTTTTTTTTTTCTCTTAAAGCTCTTTAGAGAAAAAGTCCTTGCTGAGGGATAATGTAGACTTGCTGGGGAGCCTGGCAGACCTCTATTTCAGAGCTGGAGATAATAAAAACTCTATTCTAAAATTCGAACAAGCACAAATGTTGGATCCTTACTTAATAAAAGGTGAGTAAATCCTAAAAGAAAGCTTACCTGGTGTATGATCTGGTGAGTACCATTAGAGTAGCAGCTTCCTGCAGCCAGGCATGCAGTGGAATATTGTCTGTTGTGCCTGGCTTTCAATTCAAAATTTACATTCAGGAGTTCTGTATCTGGAACAGTTCCTGGTAGCTGCAGAGTTTGCAGCAGGTGTTTGTGGGTTTGGTTTTGTCTTTCCTTGTTGTGAATGAACTCTCCATTTCTTGATGATTGATCCTGCATTACTTCTCTGTAGGAATGGATGTGTATGGTTACTTGTTGGCACGTGAAGGCCGCCTGGAGGATGTGGAGAACTTGGGCTGCCGTCTCTTCAATATTTCTGATCAACATGCAGAACCCTGGGTGGTATCTGGGTAAGTTTCCTTTCCCACCTCAACTCTTGATTAGCCACATCTGGTGGATTACAGCTGGTATGGTGGATTCAGCTTTTTTTATTCAGAAGGTGCTTTTTGGTTTTTTTTCCCCTTTTTAATTCTTCTATGGATACTCACAGGCAGTACACATTTACAGCCTGCCTTCTCTTCCCACAGGTGTCATAGCTTCTACAGCAAACGATACTCTCGTGCCTTGTACTTAGGAGCCAAAGCTATCCAGCTGAACAGCAACAGTGTGCAGGCCCTGCTGCTGAAGGGAGCTGCCCTGAGGAACATGGGCCGGGTGCAGGAGGCCATCATCCACTTCAGGGAGGCCATCCGCCTGGCGCCCTGCAGGCTGGATTGCTACGAAGGTCAGTGGGGTGAAGCTGCTCACAGCTGGCAGCACGGCTGTGCTGTGAAAGCTGCAAAGTGTGGTGGTGATGATTGGGTAAAGGAACACACAGGAGTTCTTTTCTCCTGCTGACTTCCTAGAAAAGCAATTATTTTTGCCTGAAAACCTTCTGTGGTAGAAGCGGTCAGGTGGGAGATACTAGAGAATGCATGTATTTTAGATTCATAGAATCCTTTAGGTTGGAAGGGACCTTCAAGATCATCAAGTCCAACCATTGAGCCACTAGGGCTCTAAAGTCCTCTGCTAAAACAGATCAGAATCTGTCAGGGTTGGAAGGGACCACAAGGATCACCCAGTTCCAACCCCTCTGCCGTGAGCAGGGACACCTCCCACTAGATCAGGCTGTCCAGAGCCTCATCCAGCCTGGCCTTAAAAACCCCCAGGGATTTTGCAAGAATGATTTCCAAAAAGGACTTTTTTCTGTGTTGTTTAATGTGGATGTAAACAGACTCGGGTGTTTTAAGGAGATCTCTTTTGGATGATGACATTAACTGTGTGGTTACTTCCATTGCAAGCTTCATTTTGTCCTACTTCTGTCATATTTATCTAAATCTTGTTGATTTCAACAGCAGCTTCGAGAAAATATTGAGTTGTGTAGTCCAGGTGAAGCATTAATGTCAGTACTGGAACTGGACAAAAGGTTGTGTGTATTTAGGCTTTTTTTAGGTTTAGTGCATGCCTGTAAATAAAAGTGAGGAAGTCAATTATTGGTAGAATGCATATGTTAAAATACATAGAATTACTTTCTCAATTGCAATTTGTATTTGTTAGAGTGTTTGAGGTGTGAGTGCTACCAAGTGCAGGTAACTGAGGAGGGGTGAGTGTCTGTGGTGCTCACTCCAAACCTGAAATGTTCTCCTTTTTGTATCATCAGGTCTCATCGAGTGCTACCTGGCGTCCAACAGCATCCGTGAGGCTATGGTCATGGCAAACAACGTGTACAAAACCCTGGGGGCAAATGCACAGACACTCACTCTCCTGGCAACAGTCTGCCTGGAAGACCCAGTCACCCAGGAAAAAGCAAAAACATTACTGGACAAAGCGCTGACGCAACGACCTGATTACATTAAAGCTGTGGTAAAGAAAGCAGAGCTCCTCAGTAAGTTGGGGGGTTTGTCCCTGTAGTGACTGATTTAAAAGATTAGTAGAGTTTTACATGGAAGAGTGTTCTGTGGCCTCATCAGCTTGAAGGATCTAACAGGGATGTTACAGCCCAGGGATTTATCAGTTCTGCGCTGAAGGAAAAATCACAGCAGCTAATTGCAGTAGCACTTCAAACAATTGCAGACAAAACGTTTTGACTTTGAAGTGTATGTAAGTGTGAGCGTGGCAGTTAGTGCAACAGAAAGCCAGGTTTAGAGTTAAATCTTGCAGAAGGTCTGTCGCTACTAATCCCTCACCACGCTGGCAGTTCTGAAGGAGGAGATAGTCTTGAGTTGCGATGGCTCTTTGTGTACTCTGACTTTTTATAGATCTGTCTAAGCTATTAATTAAAGCTGTAGTTTTGCCTCTGAACAGGCAGAGAACAGAAGTATGAAGATGGAATTGCTTTGCTGAGGAACGCGCTGGCTAACCAGAGCGACTGCGTTCTGCACCGCATCCTGGGAGACTTCCTGGTAGCTGTCAACGAGTATCAGGAAGCAATGGACCAGTACAGCATTGCCCTGAGGTAAAGCACAGACTCTCAGATCACAGTGTGTTTAGAGGAACCAATAATCAGATTAACTAAGTAAAAAAGTGAGCCATTAATTGGTTAGGATTTACATCAGGGGTAGCTTTACGTTATTCTCCCTTAAACAACAGAGAAATGTCCTGTTAATGCATTAATCCATCATAAGGTTTTGAAGTGAGAAGTACAAAATTTAGAGACTATTTTAATGCCAAGCATGTACTAGACATGCAATTCTTTGACTAGTTAGAGGTTTAAGGAATTGATTTGCTTACAGTTATTAATTACTATATAGTCAGGCACCTTAAAATCCATCCTTTAGACTAGAAGGCACTATGTAAAAATGATCTATTAAGTAAATCTAAATAGCATGACTCAGTTTAACAGCCTAAATGTTATTTTAGGGTGTCACCATGTTCAATGTTACCATGTTTGGATTGCAACAAGTTAAATTTATCTTAAATCAAGCACATTATGTTCACTATAAACTTACGTAGTTTAAATGGGTCAGCTGTTTTTCTCTACTTTCATATATTTGGTCATAGTTATTTAAATTTTTCACTGCTTTCATGTTACTTTAGTATTGTCTGAAAGAGCTGACTTAAGTTTTCTGGAAGAGTGTGATGTTTAGATAAGTGTGTTCTTGAGGGTCAAAGTTGGTTTATATAAAGATTTAATACTTGGGGTTACAGTCAGCCTGAGGTGGTTGCATCATCTTCTAGCTTGAACTTCTTGATAATGTTAAACAGGAAGTGCAGACAACAAGAGGAGTGTTGTGGTTTGGTTTTTTTTAACAGTAACATCACAAATAAAGAGAAAAGTAAGTTTGGGGACAATCTTTTCTTTTCCTCATTTCCACAGTTTGGATCCAAACGATCAGAAATCACTAGAAGGAATGCAGAAAATGGAAAAAGAGGAAAGCCCAACGGATGCAACCCAGGAAGAAGATGTGGATGATATGGAAGGAAGTGGAGAAGAGGGGGACTTGGAAGGCAGTGACAGTGAGGCAGCTCAGTGGGCAGACCAGGAGCAGTGGTTTGGAATGCAGTGATGGCCTCTCACCCTGCAGCCTGGTTGGCACTGGAACATCCCACCGTGGCCGTTCTTTGAAGAACATAAACTGTGATTTTTCAGTAAAAAAATGATTTTTTTTTTTTTCTTTTAATAGACTCTGAAACCATTTAATAGTTCTATGCATCTCAATACCATGAAGATTCTTGATGCTTATTTATTAAGTGTATGGGACTAACTGTATTGGAGGCCATTAGCAACTTTCATTTCAAACAATTCCAGCTAAAACTAAAAGCATTAGAATCTGAGGTGTGTAATGAGCCTGTTGTTTCTGATGAAAACAATGTCTAAATTATGTCCAGGGCCAAGTGTGCACGATTGATTTGTAAATACAGTGCTTTGCACTTCTTTGTGGAAAGGTCTTCCTCGTGTTTGGGTGTGCCCTTTGGGCTGGCACTCCTCTTGAAGTCCAGGGGGGTTGCTGGGTGTGGCTGAAAGCAGCACTTTTCTCTTGCTGTGTTGGTTGAGTTAATTTGTCTTTTCCTAAGGCATTACGTGTGCTGTGAAGGAGAGGTTTGGTACCCCAGGCAGCACTGACTTACAGAGCACTTTTGTAGCTGACTGATTTCTGTGTGTACAGAATTGAGCCAGTGCTGGAGAATTACAGTCATTTCCTCAGTCCTTACTAAACCCTGTAATCCAAGTCTGTTCACAAACAGTTATTTTTAAATGTGGTTTGGTTTTATTTCAGTACGTTACTAAAAGGTTTTACAGCAGTGACTCAAAACACTTCTCATTCTGGATAGAGCACTGACATTTGAAATGATATAAAAAGAATTCATCCCTCTGCTTTTGAACTGCTGTAGAACTGTCAAATATGCAACTACACCTATTGGCTTAGGTTTGCCATGGTCACACACTTCATGGTTCTGTCAAGTAATATTTGAGTCCCTGGGTTTCCCCTGGCCCTTTGAGGCAGAGTTGTGTGGCTTCACGTGCAGATCCTCAGCAGCAGCTTTTCAAGGGTGAGCTTTGTTGTGTAACCTAGAATCCATTTCAGTTCTGTGGGCCTGATGTGTGGGAGGAGGAATTACTTCTTGCTCTTGTTTTTTCTTAACAGTTCTGATTTTTTTTTATTCTCTACTGAAACATGCGTTTTTATTTTTATATTGGCAGTTTGAGTCTTTTTGAATTTATTTTGTTACCACAGGTATGCTGGAGCATGCAGACTTTTTTTCTTTTTACAAAGCTAAATAGTTTTGAGTATCAGAGGAAAAATGGCTCTTTGATACCAATACATGATTTGGAAAACAAGCTTCTCCCTAGTTGTATCATGCAGATAAGGGTGAAATCTCTCTCCCTCTCATCTGCATTATACCAATTACAAAAAGTCAGAATAAAAAGAATAGCCAGATTGTTATAGTCTAATTTGGGAATATTTGGATATATCACATCTTACAAAGCAGAAGCCTAACAGTTTATCCATTTGAAAAAAGGCAAACAGCTGGGTATCTGTTCTGTCTGGAATTTTGTGGGCTTTAGTCTGGCCAAAATATCACGTTACGGTTATTTGAAGGCTGCATGGGAAGAGCAGAAGAGTGTGTGCTGCTGTCTTGGTGATGGAAGTGCCATAAGCTGCAACTGCTCTTTCACTAACCAGTGCAACAAATGGCCACATTTCAGTCAGAGCAAACGTTCTCTCAGCTGCATTCTGGTGGATGAGGGCTTTGATTCTGATCCTGTTCCTCTTCTGTGAAGAATCTGTTTATACCATTGCAATAAATAGATTTCATCTCATTGCACATCCAATGGGCAGAAATACACATATACAACCAAATACAACCAAATTCAAAGCTGCTCTTTTTTTAAAAAAAAAAAACCTGCTTTGTTTTCTCCTCACAGTGGAGCATTCATCAGGTTGTGTTATGCATCTGAAGGCTGGGGAGCTGTATCAGCTCTCTAGTTGTATCCAGACCCCTGTTGTGGATGAAAGAATGGAGATCTTGATGTTATTAAACTAAAGAAAGGACACATTTAATTGTGGCAGGACATGTTTAATTGTGATGAGAGAAGCAGATGAGGTATGTGATGTCTATTTGTACAAGCTGCTTGGTCATTTTATTCTAATGATTCCCTTAAAGAGGTCATTAATGGAAACCACTGGCCTTATTCATAGCTCTGAAACATAGAACAGGAAATCCTAGAGCCACAGTTTCACCAAAACCATTCTGTAGTATGTTTGTAGGTGATCTGATAATCTCTCCTTTTAGAACAGGCAGGAAACTGAAACCACTTCAAGATGAGCTTGCTGTAAAGAAAACGCTGGTGTGCCCGTGTGCTGCTTGAGCAAACGAGTCCAGGTACACCTAAGAACACCTTAAGATAGCTGTTAGAATAGAGTTGTGTCCTCACTGCATTGTATTTCTGAGAACTCAGCTCCTTTTCAAAGTGAAAAGTTCAGATTTCCTGCAAATAACCACTTTCTAAGTACCTGATATACTGAGGTTAAATAGCTTGTGTAGGCTTTGCTAATAGTTGTACAGTGAGTAAGGAACTTTAAGATGCCATACATGTTGAGTGCATTTCAGATTATATATTTAGCATGAACTGTAGAATTCTAGAGGGATTCTTCTTGCCTATTAATGAGCCTTCATTAGTGCTCTAACTTTAGAATGTGATCTCTGGTTTTGCAGCAATCTTGTGCTCTCAAATTCAGTTAGTGGTATTCTAGTTCAGGGAATATAACAATTAGCTCATAATAAGCAGCTGACCTCATTCTGTCCCTTAGTCATGTGCTGTGCACCCTAGAAGAAAAGATCATAAAGCCAAAGCCTGAAGTTCAGACTGTGTCAAATCCCTGATGTAAGCTCCCCAAAGGGATTCAGTTTGTAGGTGAGGCAAGAAAAGCCATTGCCATCTGTTTTTATGGTCCAGCATTGGCATATCTGGGGCTGGGTGAGGATGGAGAGCCTGTGTTTGCTTAAAATCCTGGAATTTAAATCAGAGAGGTCATTAGTAAGTTTTAATTCTTCCCTGCTTTGCCATGAGAAAGACACAGAGGTGATGCAAAGGGACAGAATTTCTTCAAACCTTACATAGATTTGGGTAAGGGCTAAAAGACTTAATCTGCCAGAGTCCAAAAGGAGCACACGTTCACACTGTGGCCAGGAATTACCTAAACAAGGCGTGGTCTGCAGCAAGCCACGTGCTCCTGCTTTACTCTGTCATGTGCTGATACCACCTGAAACACTGGCAGGGTTTCTGATTCTGATTTCTAGATCTTGGGAATGCAAGAATTGTGAAGCAGAGATAAGAGAAGAAACTGAGAACTGCTGGCCAATGGAAATGTTTCCTGTCTAACTGAGGTGCCTTTTCCTTTTCTGTTGCTGCTGTTATAGAGATATTTTGATTAATTAGGACTTTCTTCTTTTCAGTAATTGTCTTCCTCATTAGGCCTTTTCCTGGGTGGTAATTCTTCTCTCCTTGCCTTTCAAGAGCTCAGTGATGTGGAAACTGCTCCATCCAGGGCAGAATCAGGGCCTGTTTCTTACTCAGCAAACCTCATTTCCTCAGATCTCAGCTGTGGGGAAATCTCAAAGGCTGTGCCTATGATTTCAAGTTACACAAATATACCACAACCAAATATATTTAAAAAAAAAAAAACAGTTCTACATCAGTTCAGTCTCCAGGGGTCTTAAATTTAGTGACCTTAGGTGGGCTTAAACTCAGTATAAACCTGTGATTTGAACCTAAGTAGCCTCAGGCAGAGCTTACAGCAGCATGTGGTAGACAGAGTGTTCAGTACTGCTCATCAGTAAATGGATGCAGCTTTTTCTAGTACCCAGCAGAACTCAGGTACATTGCTGTTGACTTTGCTGTGATTTCTTCACTGAAAGGATCTGGTGTGGGCCTAAAGAATGATCCCCAACCTGTTATGTTCCTGTACTGTCAGGGTGCCAGCTTGAAAAGTAATCCTGTGAAAGGATGCCTGAAGTTACCTCAGAAATAGTCCTTTCCTCTCCCATCCTTGTTTTCCTTTTGCTGCTTTTTTCTACTATGTTTTTAAATCCTTTATCTGTTCACCTCATGCCCCTGCAGTGGGGTTGGTTGAAGCATGCTGAGGAGGAGGAGGCAAGACCTGTAAAGCTGTTGAATTGCTGGAGCCCCGGCCTGAGGCCTCGGTGATGGTTAAAGTGTTTGTGTTGGTCCAGTGACCAGGTCTGAGGGAAGGGGAATGGGGCAGCAGGAACACTGGCCCGGGTAGGGGGGAACTGCTAGGACCACAGGCTGGTTCAGATGTCATTGGCAGCTGGGCAAGAGGAGGGAGATGCCCAGGGCTGGCTATTTGGGTGGAAATTTTTTTTAAAAATGGTCACTGTGGTGCAAACACACCTTGGGGAAGAGCATTACATTGAAGTTCCCCACATGGGTGTTTTAATTTATGTGTTAATTAAAGACCTTTAGCTAGTCCACGTCCATTGCTGTTGATGACAATAACAAAATCAAAAGAATAATTCCTTTTTCACTTACTGTCTTGAGCCTTGTGCTTACCTTGTGAACCTTGCTGGGTGTGGAGTGAGCAGGGGAAGCCTCTGCTGCGGTGGGTCACTGGCCTCCCTTTCAAACAGCTTCCCCAGAGAGGCCCAGGACTGCCTAAATTTGGAGATCAGATTCCTTTTCCTCCTCTATCACCCTGTCCAGACACTGATGCATGCAAACAGAGTGGTGGGTTGGGGCTCTCACAAGAGCAGTGCAGTTCCTGACTTAAGAATTATAAAAGGGACTGAATTTTCTCTGTCTGGCTGTGCAGACAGTTCCATTTCTTAGAGGACAGGAGGTGTGGTGTGTGCTGAGGTGTGCCTGCAGTGTGTCCTGCTGTGGTGTGTTCAACCAGAGTGTGGCAGGAGCACTGACCTTGCATTCTGAACATTTGCCCGTGGACACTTCAACTACCTTTTTTTTCAGCTGTGTGTTCCAGAGTCTTGTCTAGAGGACAAAGAGGAGAAAAAAAATCCCACGTCCCGAGACTTGGACTTGATA